ATAGGATTGTATATTACATTGAGACCCTATTTATAGACTCTAGAATACAATCCTTTACCAAGTAGGATACTATTTAGTATTCCTATTTCTATTTCTATTCCTATTCCTATTCTAATAGGATTGTATAAACCTATTCATATTCTAACAGTATTTTTACATGTTATATTGGTCACTTGATGTGGAATGAAGTTTATGATTCTTTCTACTATTTATCGTAAAATAGACCTAATATGGTCCGACCCCTCTCTAGACTCTCCATAGCCCTCGTTTTATGTGTTATTTATTTATTTCTAGTTTTTAAAAGTCATTGTTGGTGACGGAAGATGACTCTCTTCAATTATTCTTGCGATGAGAAGGAGTAGATGTTGTTTCATATTTGTAAATTCATTTCTAGTTTACACGTCTGCTCATAGCAATAGCTTAGTGCAATAGGCAGGAAAACATGAAATATATTTGAAGTACCTATGTAATGAAAATAATGTAATTTGCTTGTGGATTAAGGTATTGTTATTGTATTCAAAACATGTCTTCACCACGTAATTTTAAAAATGAAAGGGATCTTGTGTTAATCCTGTTATGGTTTTGAGATTTTATCAAATTATAGGATCTGAAATAGAATATAATCTTAAATTTTTGGTCAACATCACAAATATTATTAAACAAAAGGTGGCCAGTATTATAATGCTTGTTGTCTTTTATCCCTGTGGTTTTTCATTCACCCAAAAGGACCACAATTATTCTAATATAATAATATCACATGAGAATGAGGTAAAAGGTGACGCTTGCTTATTTCCCCTCTAAACCCTCCGATCATGGGTACTTGTTTTGAAGCACGACTAATCAGATTTGTGATTTTTGAAGATAAATGTGATTTCACTCTTAAATCTCATCAAATTTAAGATCTTTAACTAAAGATAGATGAATATTTAACAATTACCATCCTACTACAACTTTTGATAGTACAATTGATGTTGTCTTTTTATTTTTTATTTTTTTATCACATGGTGTTCGAAACTCACTTTGGGGTAACAACTCATATGAAAGGTCACTCAATTTACAAGTTTTACAATCAAGATTTTTTTATTAAGGATGAGTTTTTATTTACCAATCTACCTAGAAATTGAGAGTCTATTGAAAACAGACTCTTTATCTCCACGAGATAGAAGTAAGATTAGCATACAACCTTTTCTTCCCAAACTCTATTTGTGGGATTACCCTTGGTATATAGTCGTTGAGTATTTATTGCCTCACACACTACAAATTCTGGTGGTACAATAATTGCTTCATTTTTTTTATATGATATTTGATATCTGCAACTATATGTTATCTGAATTCACATAAAAAAAGTTTTGTTTTATAGAATAAAATACTCTCTATCAAAGATAACTCTATTTTTAAGGCTCGAACTCAAATCCTCTGATTAAAAATAAAGAAATATCTACGAACCATCACAAGACTAATTTGGTGGTGCAATAATTGCTTTGTCCTTTGATAACAACTTG